ACCATTATTAGTCTCAAAGTGGGTTCCTCGTCATCGAATTTGACATTCAATAATTGTTTTCAATATCACATTTATTTTGTAATTTCAAAATGTCTGTACACTGAAATATGAAAAACCCTTCCTTTTCAAACTTATAATATAATTTTGTTGATATATTTTTGTTTCATTAATGATAACTCTTAGTTTGATTGGATATTGTAGAAATATTCATCGTGGTATTTGTCATATCACTTTTCTGTGGTAGCGCCATCTAGTAGCAACTATACTGCCAAATATTACAATTATTTTTAATTTATCGAAGTAAATTGACAAGATATTTAGTAACCATGGTAAAAAAAAATATTTATTTACGAAATATCTAGAAAAACTGTTTGCATTGTTTTATTATTGATGGCAGTTAGAAGCATTAAAATTAAAATTTCCAATCACTGACCATCGAAAGAACACCACGCTAAATGCAGCCGTCTTTATCTGACCGCAGATAACCGTATTGAAGAGTTGTTGTTTTTTATGTAAGACCTGAAAAATACATCTCTCCCTATATTTGTTGGCTATGGTCCGAGTCAAACTGACATGCTTGTTCAGTGCTGTTTCGAAATAGCACAAGTGCATATTCAGTTTAACCTTACGTACACTATCAGAGCTTTACTATAATGGTGAGTAACGAAACGTTTATTTTCCCTATTCTTTGCTGAAGTTGTCTTATCTGCATTGTAACTTCGTCTTATTAATTCTTGGGTCTACTGTACATTTTTGTACATTACAAAAACAATTCTTGTCTTTGAAAAGTAAGAAAAATTCGATGTCCCCTTAAATTCGAGTCAGTACGGTAATCTGCGCTCAGATAAAGTCGGCCACATTCATATTCACTCTTCATAAGTTCACAAACAAATAATAAAACACATGCAACATGAGGTTAAAGGTACTTCAATAATAGTAAAATTTTGAGACTTTACAGACAACGTAAGAATTTCAATTGGTTTATTTGATCGAAATAATTTTAACATATATTGTGATGAAATAAAACGTTATACGTTCTCAGATAATCATTATATTTGATGAAGTATATAAAATTTACAAAACCACTAAGATACATGAATGGTTCTACAATTTTAAACAGTAATCGATTTTACTATAATATCTGTTTGTTGGTTTTTTTATCTGTAAGTGTTTGAAAATTTTTATAGGGGAAAAATTCAGAAGGAGGATTTTTTCATATAAATCCCATAGTAAGAAGGTATTGCCCGGCATGGCCAGGTGGTTAGGACACTCCACTCGCAATCTGCTAAAGCGTGGGTTCGAATCCCCGTCACACCAAAACATCTGGTGTCCGGACTAGTACGCCAGTCCTACTCCCCGATACTCACCTCCAAAAGTATGAAGTTAAATAATAATATATTTCATCACATTACATATTTTAATATGTTAGAATTTATTTGCATAACCGTAATGTCTTATTGGCAATGCTGCAAACGAGAAAAATATATAAATAGGTAACTAATTTCAACAAGTCCCCACCCCTCAGTGGCTCAACGGTAAGTCTGAAGGTTTAAAACACTAAAATACGGGTTTCGATACTCGTAGTGGGCACAGCACAGATAGTCCATTGTGTAGCTATGGGCTTAACAATAAAGAAATAGGGGACTTACACAATAGTTCTTTGTTTTCTTGAATTATAAATGTTACTATTTTTTATAAGGAAAGTTAATGTTGATATATTGTTATCTCTGCGAGAGCATTACTAACAATTATTGTTGAGAAAAACAGAATAGTTAGTAGTTTCTGTATTTTATTTATACGTGCCAGCGTGAAATCAGTTTCAAGAAAATTTAATGTCTCATTTTTAATTTATTACCTCTCATGACCTACAGAACTTCAAACTAATAAATAGTAAGTACACCTAACAAATCTGTAGGTTTAAAAACCCATAATATTTTTAGCTTTTCAGTCTAAGAACCCTTTATACCTTCGTTATTCTCAAAATAAAACTCGTAGCATCCAGCAGATTTTCAGATTAAAAATCCATTACACCAAAGCATATCTTCTGAGAAAAAACTCATAAAACTCTGCAGATATTCAGACTAATAACTGGTAGCACCCCATAAATCCTCGAATAAGAATCTATAAGACCCTCTGGACAATCAGTGTAAGAATCCATAGAGCAGAATTTTAAGAATCTATAAGATTTTAGTCTTTTTAGAATCTCAGAATAAAAACCTATAAATTCCTAGCTCCTCAAACTAATAACTCATGAATCCTGCAAGACCTCATTAAAAATCTGTAATATCCTGCAGGGATTTTTACGATATTGAATGAAATAATGACAAAATGAAAACAGCTTGTGCTTCTCTAAAGGTGAAAACGTGTTACTTTAGGTAATTAAAGCTGAATACTCATGTTAGGTTGAAACACATTTTCCTTTGTAACGAGAGTATCAAAAAATTGCTGTTCGTTAATCGTTAGACTGATCTATTCTTCAGTACCATTACGTTTTAAGGAGATCTTTGTAAACAACACATCATTTATAATAAGATTTTAAACATTTTATTAACTTCTGCTCACAAAAGTAAAAATTAAAAAATGATACTTTTTTCACACAACAAAGAACAGTTAAAATATATTACAGTTACTTCCTTACTAACATTATACCTTTTTAACCTAATATTGTACTCGAATGAATTAAAAATAGGTTTTTAATTTCCTCAAACAACACTCCAATACCTCAAGTAAGAAAATGTTTCGACTTGGTGTGCTTTATAACTGTACAATTTCTAACTGTACCGCCTTCCGTTCTCATATTTATCTTATGATTGAATTCACTAATCTTATAACCTAGTTTTTTATATTAATTTCGTAATGTTTACACGTGAACTATAGCCATTCTGATACTTCCCGTTAAGGAACTGGTGTTCGTGATTTTTATTTTGTTTGCTTAGAGTCAAATTTTTATTCACACATGTCGGAACTTTAAGAGCCCAAAAATTGTCTGATGAAATTCAGTATACAAGCATTATTTTTTATCATTTCGTTTTGGCAGCATTTTCTCTTTTTATGTGTTAAAATAGAAATATCTCTTCTAGTGGAGGGTCTAACATGGTCTGAAACGAAATCCGTCACCAAACAAGCTCTCCCTTTCAGCCGTGGGGGCGTTATAATATGATGGTCAATCCCACTATTCGTTACTAAAGAGTAGCCCAAGAGTTGGCGGTGGGTGGTGTTGACTAGCTGCCTTCCCTCTAGTCTATCACTTCCAAATTAGGAAGAGCTAGCGCAAATAGCACTCGAGTAGGTTTGTGCAAAATTAAAGAAACAAAAAACTAAATATATTCTAATGAACACATCATCAGCTTCACTTCAGCCAAGTGAAGCGTAATATGGACAATTTTATCGTTTTTGTAAAATATGTAAAGTACATACGGAAAAACAGCAGTACGGAGATAAGTATACGTTTGATTCCACTTAGACATGTCAATCATATTTCAACAAGATCTTGTTGTTTTCATTGTATAAAATTACCATACTCCAGCAAAAAAGATAACTATGACAGTATGCCGTTTCTTCTTTAATTATAGACCACCTTGTAGTCAAACTGAATCATTGTCAGTAATTTCTTTGATACACACTGTTAGACGACATCTAATGTTATATTTAATCAATCACCAGCAAATTCAAATACGCAGACCAAATTTTTGCTTTATCACTCTAGTGATGCTAACTGCAATATTAGAAACTGGAATAATCTAAAATCAATGTTTAATTTTTTTTTTTTTCAGACTTGGATTCTTCGACTTGATAGTTCCACAGCTTAAAACACGCCATCACCAGAAAATAATTCCAGGAAAACTCTTAAACATTCTATTTTTTTATAGTAAGATTTCTATTAAATCTCCAACACTTTAATTGATCATAATATACAGTATCGAAGTGCATATATAGCAACTTTATATACATTCCTTTGCAATCTGCTTTAGAAAGACTTTTTATTAAAAAACTTATTGTCTTCATTTATACTTAATCTGATTAAAATATTTTTTTTTATTTCCATCATTGCCGAGACACTGTGATCCTTTTTTTTTTCCTGAATTTTTGGATTTTCTTGGCAGAGTTCTTGCAATTTAACTTAGAAAATATATATGAAAATACTAAATAAAAATTATAAAGCATTTCAATGAACGTCCCTTTTCGCCTCACTTAACCGCAATTCATTAAGTACTCTACACCCCATACAAAATACACGGGGTTGAGAGAGAGTGTGTGTGTGTGTGTTGTGTTATGAGTACCATATTTTCCTGATGGTAATTATTGTAGAGATATGCACATTTATTCCACATCTGGCAAAGAGGTCGTGAAAAGAATCGGATCAGAGGACGACGAAGCTGGAGAAAAAGCTGAGTTTCCACCACCCATCAAAGGCACGTTATCACTGGGCTTAGGACCTTCAATGGAAGGCAGTGCAGGTTCTGGTGAGATGGAAGCCGGGGTAGTGGGCTCTGGAGACGAGACCTCGGTTTCATTTAATGTATTCTTCATGGTCATCCTTTGATGTCGTCTCCACTTCGCTCTTCTGTTAGAAAACCACACCTGCTACAAACACACAATATACATGGAATTTAGAAACAATGAAGAGCTACTACGGAAAACCTAAAAATAACCTACGGACGTATTAGCACTAACTCTTATACAAAAGAATAGGCACTTGAGTATGGAAGCACATTGTGCCAATATAATTATAAGTTGGCAAAAAAAAACGATTTATAAGTATATTTGAGTGGTTTATTTTGGAGGAAACAGGTGAAGAAGACAGTCCAATGTTCTGTCAAAACATGTAGTATGTTCCCATAAAAATATACCGTTTCATTATGCCTATATATCATTTTTTGCCAATTTATTATTAAACGAATAAGCAGCTCAATATACGTAATAAAGTTTGGGAACGGCTTGACGGTAATACCCCTTGAATATGGCACAAGCTTGTCACAGTACAAATTAGAATAAAAACGAATTAGAATTATATAAAACTATTTGTTACATCTTTTACAAAAAATAAAATTAAACACGCCTAATATCATGTTTTTTTTTAATAAGTGTAACTGATAAAGTCAGAATTCAAACGAATCAAAAAGATGATCGCTTTCAAAGAATGGTCTCTTCTTCTTCAGGATGAAGATAAGGGCACTCTTCAAAAATGCTCCTATTTATGGGTCATTTTATGGTATTCTTTTTAGTCTAATTATAGCGAACCACTGTGTTTTCATGGTAAATTATAGATATGCTTTTATTAACATCTTGTTTTTTTTTTACAAAAACATGCAGTTACATCTAAAACGTGAATACATTTATAAAGTAAATTATGCTCGATATAAAAACATTAAATAACAATGTGTTTTAATATCTTCAGTACCCTAATTGCCTAAAGCTTCTATTTTGCATTTAGCAACAGAGATGTATTCCATTTCCTATTTGTTTTCGAGAGTTTATGTTCTCAATAGAAAATTGCATGTTCATATTCAGTTATATCCGTCACACAGGTCCCCTAGTGGGTCAGCGGTAAGTTTACGAACTTATAACGCTAAAGTCCTAGATTTGATTCCTCGTGGTGGACAGAACTCAGACAGCTTATTGTGTAGCTTTGCACTAAAACAAGGAAACCGTCGTATAGTCTGACTTCATATAATTGTTTTATTTAATTACAATGCAACCATTGTCTTACATTAGTTTTCAATAATAACACTATCAGCATAATAATACGACTTAATATAGCCCCTAGTAACGTTATGTCATACAAATAGAACAAAATCACCTGGGGTCGAAACAAAACTGAAATATCTAAATGTTTCAATATATTGATGCAACAACTTTCTCCGAGTATTAACGCTGTTCCTACAAAAGGGAGCATTCCTCTTCTGTATTATACTTATTCTGAAACAATAAAGTTATTTGGGGGTTTATATCGAAGTACGGGTAATTTTTCTGGAGTGTTATGTTATAACTGTCTGCACTTCCGTGGTATCATATAAGAGATTTCACCTTCATATCCTCTCGATATTTGAACACCGTCATAAGATGAGAAACGAGCATTAATTAAAGTGTGTCGTAAACCTTTTATTTACTACTTAAATTATACGATTACTTCATTTCTTCCCTCTCACAAACAAGACTCATCTTAAAAAATAAAACAGTCACAGTTGCGCCCCACAGCGGCGTGTCTGCGGACTTACAACGCTAGAAACCGGGTTTCGATACCCGTGGTGGGCATAGCACAGATAGCCCATTGTGCAGCTTTGTGCTTAACTTCAGTCACAGTTGCTGGTTGTGTGTAGAGAGCTAATTTGTATTTCTTTCTTCCTTTTTTTTTCTTTTTGTTTAACGGCCGGGCATGGCCAGGTGGCTAGGACGCTCGGCTCGCAATCTGTCACAAAAAACATGCTAGCCCTTTCAGCCGTGGGGGAGTTATAATGTTCGACCAATCTCACTATTCGTTGGTAAAAGAGTAGCCCAAGAGTTGG